GGGAGGGTTTGGGTTTCGCCAGCCCTCGGTCTCCTTCAGAGGAGGAGGTGCAGCCCTGAAGTAAACGGAGGGAGAAGCGGCAGAACCGAGCGCCCTGTTTTGGTGTGCTTGCAGGCACCCATCTCTTCTGTGAAGAAGTCGTTTTAGGATGTTTTTAACCTGGTGTTTGTTGGCTTGTCCGATGTCATTGTCGTAGACGTTAAAGATACTGATCATTTTTTTATTTTATTTTATCAGAACCGAGCGCCCTGTTTTGGTGTGCTTGCAGGCACCCATCTCTTCTGTGAAGAAGTCGTTTTAGGATGTTTTTAACCTGGTGTTTGTTGGCTTGTCCGATGTCATTGTCGTAGACGTTAAAGATACTGATAATTTTTTTATTTTATTTTATTTTATTATTTTTTTTTCCTAGCAGGTCATCGCTCACTAAGCGCTGCCTGTAGGGCTTTTCTAACAAGTCCACTTCTCTCCAAAAGTGGTGTTGGGGTTTTCCTATGTTAGCTGTTTTCCAAAGTAGCTCAAAGAAGAGTTGCGAGACGCTGGGTTACTTGAAATACCTTTTCTTTTTCAAATTCATTAGGCTGAGGCACGCGCAAGGTTTGAGACGAGGTTTTATTGCTGCATCTGTCACTAGCTTATGATTAGGCTTAAATAACTGAAGGTTTGAGACAAGGTTTTATTGCTGCATCTACCACTAGCTTATAATTAGGCTTAAATAAACTTACTGTTGTCTCCACTGAAAGCAGTAGATTTACTAATCGTTTCTCTAAGAGTAGCATCACGTTAATAATCCTTTGTCTTGCTTCTTCATTTTCTCTACTATTCCTGATTGCTGTTTTTACCCTGGATCTCTATTTACAACGAATAAATTAAGTACAATATGTTATATAAATGTATCTTCACAGTTTGTCACTTTAATTATTATGCTAAGCATACATTATTTCTGATAACATTCTGTTTTTTAAGGCTAAATCTAAATTCAGAGGAATTTGGTGTAGAGCAAAGTACTCCAGTTTACTAAACAAAGCTTAAAAGCCTTTTTTCAAGGTGATATTAGACTTGTTGCTCATCCCCTGCCCCCTCCGTGCAATTGGCTTTTAGTGCTGTTTTGCATAGTTAAAAATATCAGCAACTGCCAAGTTGTGTTTTTCTTTGTGATGGGTTGTTGAGGGAATAGCTGACATTTCAGTGCAACATCTCTTGCTTTCCTTGCCCTAGCTTGTAAGATGAACGGGGAGATACCATGCAATGCAATGTATGTCAAAAAGGAAATTATGTAGTTAGACTTATCAGTCTTTTAGGAGTATTTTTGCAGTTCTCCCATACTTGAAATCTAGCAAAATGTTTTACAGGAAGTTTGACTGTGCTGTGAAACACTTGCAGAAGCAAAAGGATTTGTAGGTGTTACCTACCAGCAATAACCATATTTTGTTTTCACCTCACTGGATCAGTTTAATAACAAGAAAAACTCCTGCCTAACGGGATGGATATCTGGGTGGCAAAATGCCCATATCTGCGATGCTGAGAGAAAGAGATACTGCTATTCTCAAGCATCTTTTTTCTTTCTTTTGTGAATAAATGTCATTTTTTGAAAATAAATATCAAAACATCATTGATATTTTGGGGTTATATATTTTTGAAGCCTGGTTTACGGGAGCATGTGACTTGTGTTGTCTAAACTGTAAGCATGTAAGTTGAACCAGTAGGGTTTGGCATGTTTAGCAGTTTGGAGTCTGTGTGGTTTTGGGGTTCTGTGAGATGATTCTGTCCCACAAGTGCCAGTAACTGTATGAATGTCTTTGCCTTCTCACAGCCCTTTAACCTATAGCTGAGATGGAAAAAAACCCACTAAAGGAGCTTGGCACGACTGTGGCCCTTTAGAAGGGTTGAGCCAATCACCTTGGATGATAAACTACTTCCAGTCAGACTTGTTTGGTCGGTTTGCTACGGGGAAGGTCACCTTAACAATGAAGTTGACTTGGCAGGGGTCACTGGACACCTGATGGAAGATCATGGGACAGGACAGATGGCTTGCAAGGCATAGAAGCACAGGAGGAGCTGTGCTTTTTGCTGGCTGTGCCCACTTAGTGTTGCTCAGCTGGTGGATAAGTGATTGTACTAGGATCTTTAAGATAGGGCATAAAATAAGCTTTCTGGTGTGTGAAGAGAGTACTCCTTGGAAATAAGCCTTGGAGCCTCAGGATTCAAGGACAGTTCCCAGGTTCAGTTTAAGCACTGCAAATGCTGCCTCGGACATGTACTATAACTTGCTCTTCAGATAATGCTTCCAAGGCAGGTTAACAAGGTGTGCATGACCAGAATTTATCCCTGTCTGTTTTGCTAGAACCAGTCCTTAATTAATCTGTTTGCCCAACTTGAACAGAAACAGAGTTTGGAAGTTACTGGGACAGAGAAGTTCATTTGCCTAGGAGCTGCCTTGTAGAAAAATGGGACATAAAACTTGTGGCTTAACTGAGGTCATTTTATAGGGATGAGTGGTAGAGCTAGAGTTGATGATGTTATTTGTACTTGCCTATTGTGACCTCCACTAATGCTGGTATCAGGACAAGTTTAGGACTTTCTGAGTTTTGTACTTTACTGTTAAAGTGATGAGGGGAAAGCAGACCAACTGTGATACACTGTAACAGTGAAGGGCAGGAGCCAAAGTGCATGGTCTTCCTCAGTGAGGTCAGATAGAGTTCTTTAGAAGCGTTAAATAAGAAGTGTATGTGATTGTATTTGGGCATACCTTTGGTACTCATTGCAAGGAAAAGAACTGCTGTTTGGCATGCAATTACCTTGTTGTATTAGTTGAATAGCATTAACCATCCCTCAGAGCATGTCAGGGTTAAGGTTTATGAGGAAATCTTTCACTATGGTTTTTCTTGTGTAAATGAGCTGCTGCAGGCACCAAGTCTTGCAATCTAGCTCATGCTAGAACTGTTATTGCTAGGAATAAATTGGCACGAATTCCCGTTCCTTTGCCTTGTGATATGTCAGGAGTATACAAGACAAGCCAGACATCCCAGTAAGCTATTTCAGAGTACACTCTGAGGAGTATTAGGATACAGAGGAGAATATAGGCTTGCTCATTGGATTAACAGGTGTGGGGAGCTGGTATTTCACCTTGCATAGAGCAATCTTAGACTTGGTGTCAGTCGTTTGACCTTGCAACAACTGTTCTAGGACTGAATTTAAGCAACAGGAAATGAGGAACCAGAGAAGCCAGTCAGGAGAGTCTGCTTGAATTCAGGAACTAAGACTAGACAAATCCTCACTTTTTTTAATACTAAGTGCAAAGGCTGGGAAAAAAAAAAAAAAAGACAGCTAAGGCATTTAAGTGTTAAATAGTAATGGAATTATTGTCTTGCTCAAGTAGTACATGCTGCGAAACTTTATACTGGCAAACTGTTTGAAAATCCCACTTGGGCAGTTGCTGAACCAGTTATTTCTGTCTTTTTCTATCAACACTAAGCACACAGAATTTGTAGTGAAGTTCAAAACTGAAGACAGTGATTTGCCAGGATCCAGACTTTGTATATAACTCTGCAGTGGTAAATGTACTTTTGTTCAAGGAACTCAAAGCACTTTCTGAGGAACACTCACCTGTATTGTATTGAATATGATTCATACTGTTTGTGTGGATCTGAAGTTTGGGGGTTGAGCTGGTGCGTTGTCTACCATTGCAGCAGAAACAACTCCGTGTGTATGCAGATCTAGAACATGAGGTTGATAAGAGATGGCTGACAATTGTGGCTTCTGTATCACCTCCTGAACCCGGGGGAATTTATAGTGTGCGAAGTGTTATTAGAGAAATAAATTCCAGTCTTTTAAGAAATACAGTTTTATGGTTTAACTCAAGGTCTACTTAGGATACTATATTTTTTTCAGCCACAACTTAGGAAGTGACATTAGGCCTGTGATAGCACACATCTTTAAAATAGCACAGTGAGTTGTGCCATATTAAAAACTCTTGGAGCAGAATGAATCTATTTGGTTTAGTTGCCAGCTATGAGTTTATTACAAGCAACGTCCATAATATATTTAGGGGAGTGTCTAAGTATAACTAGATTTGAAAATTTAAAGTGTGCTTAACTCCTAACAAAGTGTGCAGTTTCCACACATAAGCCTCAGATGATTGGTGACTCTCTGTATTTTTATCACAGATTTCTAAATTTTTTTTTTTGTCTGGTATCAGTAATTATGAAGCCACCTTCTTGTCCCAGAACAGGAAGTTAGGTTAACAGGGATTTATGAAACTGCATCTTTTTCTTCCATGTAGCATTCAGGCTAAGAATGGAAGGAAAGGTTGCGTTTGTTCCTCTTCTTGTATGTAGCTTCAATAATTCTGATTAGTTTCATTGTTGCTTAGAGATTTGAGTAGTAAAATTGATCACCGTCCTACAGATTTCACTGTGTGCTGTTCTTGGGGATAAATGAGGCTCAGTGATGGAATTGTCTGCTTGCAAATTCAGAGGATGCCATTGCAACAGTTAAATTCTGTGAGGCTGGCAGCATAACCGTAAAACTTACAACTTACGCAAAATATAAATGCTTCTTGGCTTTAAATGCATATCAGTACTGTACAGCAATTGATGGGTAAGTCATCTTAGCAAAGAAAGCTTCCTGTTTCTTAAAGGTGAAAATGATCATTTTTTTTAAATTGAGTGTATTGCTTTTACCACTGCTTTGAAGGTAGAATCCATTTGATTTGTGGAGATACAGTAACCCAAACTGTCACTGGATAGCCAATAAGCAGACAAAATAAGTAAGGATGTTTTCAGTAAATGCTTCAGTCCAACCTACTCCAGGTATATTTGAGAGAAAGCAGCAGGTTGTGAATGACTGGTGTATTTTTCCACTTATTTTACTAGATCAAAAATGCTACATAGTAACTGGTCAAATAACCTGTGAATTTCTATTTATTTTAAAGACAATCTCTTTCTTCTAGAGCAAAATAATTTTTTTTTAAGAATACTTTTGTTTTATTTCCTGCAGGGGTTCTGCTGTTGCCAAAATAGTAGGCAATAATGTAAAAAAATTGCAAAAGTTTGCTTCCACAGTGAAGATGTGGGTCTTTGAGGAGAATATTAACGGGAGAAAACTGACGGATATCATAAATAATGAACATGAAAATGTAAAATACCTCCCTGGATACAAGCTGCCAGATAATGTGGTAAGGCTCAGAAGCTAGTTATGGAGCAGAGGGAATATTGCTTATGCTGTGAATGGAGGTAGAAATTTTTTTTGGTAACAGCTTTAGGGTTTATAATATTTCAGACTGTATGCTATTTTACTGATGAGATCAGAGATTTGAACAAGTAAAATTATGCAATTATGCAGGTAGGTAAATCCAATACACATACTTTTTTTCTTTCTTTCCAGTCTCACTATTGTTTTTATGTTACTTCAGTTTCTGTATGGCGAAGCAAATGTGAAAACGAGGGCAAGATTAACGGCTCTGATCATACCCATTAAAAAAAAATTTGGCCTCAACTTTGGAAGGGAGTTGGCTGGTCAGTGAGAATTGAAGGGATTTCAAGTACTCTGAAACTCTTAAAAAGTATTACAGGGTGAGAGCTAGAGTCTTTCTTAAGCAAACTGCCAGTCATTTGCCATTTATCAGGTCCTCAGTTGTGTTTCAACTGTGTGCGGTCAGATCAGCATGTTGGATGTAGCATTGCCAGGGCAGAACAGTGGGATTCCACATCTCTTCTGTGATGGTGGGTGGGCAGGTGGTGACTCTTGTCCCAAAAACATTATAGGAAGAAGCTGCAGCAGCTGATAATTAGTAGAGATTTGGGGCATGAAAAATATGAATTGCCATGCATTACATTTTTCTCTCTAACAATAATGCTGAAATCCTGTTTCCCTAGCCTTCAGCAAGTGTAGTGTTTCTGCTGTCCACTACCTGCTCGTTCAGGTTTGTTCTCTTTATCAATAGGATGAACTTAGTGTTACATTTTAAACCTGAGTGTTATTTTCAGATGGTCATCAGGTGTTAGGAAAAGTGGAGTCTGGCTAGTGACTTCAAAGTAGGTCACCTTCTTAAAGGGTAAACAAGATCTATAAGTACAGAGAAAGAGAAGATAAACTAGTAGGAGTAAGAGGCCTGAAGAAGGAATTTGAGTGTATAAGGAACCAGGTAAAGAAACTGTCTCCCAGCATGCAATAGTTTATCAAAAATTGAGATTATTTTGTCAAAGAGAAGGCAGCTCCTTATTTTTATATTTTCTTACTCAAAATACTTGTTTGAATGTTATGGAACATTTTGAATTTTTGTTGCAGTAACCATGCTGACAGCTGTGAAGATGCCCCTTTCAAGACATAAAATGAAAGCTTAAATTCTTTTGCTTTTCTGGGAAGTTTATTTTACTGTTTATTTTCAATGATGCAGCACAGTAGTTTGTAGCATTCAGTATAAGACAATGTGCTTTTACTTACCGCATAATACTTGTGTGTAGTCTTAATTTTAAGAAGCTATGTGGACTTTCTCTCCCGTAACTACACAGGTTGCTGTCCCAAACCTTAATGAAGCTGTACAGGATGCAGACTTGCTGGTATTTGTCATTCCTCATCAGTTCATTCATAAAGTCTGCGATGAAATCACAGGACGCGTACCCAAGAAAGCGCTTGGTATAACTCTCATAAAGGTATAATAAATACTATGCATTGATAACTGAGAATGTGTTATGGAATCTTCTAAAAGAAGATGGCTTGATATTTTGATATGAGAAGTCTCTTTGCGTTATTCACTTGATTGTTCCATTAAACCTTTCTAGATGTAAGATTGGAATTTGTCTCAGTCATTAGTGGATTGTTATGCAGTGTTTTATTTTAGGCTAGCGCTTGCAGGAAGAGGAGAATGAGGCTGTTCACAAGACTTTTAAAAAGACAGAGGGAGTGAATATGTTTTGCACCACCAAGCTTTCCAGTCTTTTATTTCTGGTTTCCAAATGCATCATTAGATGAAGAATAGAGCACAAGCATAATGCTTTGATTGTTAACGCACATCCCACACACTGAGTTGATCATTTTAAGAACTGCTGAGAGAATTTTATGTGACTGAGAGGATGGTGCTCTTGTTCATGTCAAATATTATCTTGCAACAGGAGAGTCTGTTCAGCATGGCCCAAAAAGAGAGTTCGAGCATAGGAAAATAGGAGGGGGCAGAGGAGCAAGAAGTATTTCACTGGAGTGTTTGTAGTTTTCATAGCAGGAGTATTTTTAAATGTGGATGGGCTGCTTTTTTAAATTTTTTTTCTCCTGTGTGTTTAGCTGCAAAGAATAAGCTATTGCCACAGGGTTTGGAAGATTCTGGTTTGTTGTTGCTTTGTACTTAGTTGAGTAGGTCATTTTCTCAGCACACATTCCCTTGTTTACTGTAATTTCTGGAAAATGATACATTTATGGATCTGTGCTTAAAAAGAACAAAAACCCTCTATCACTACTTGCTGCAAGCTTGTCTATTTAGTTTGACTAACTAAACCTATCAAATCTGTATTATTTTGTCAGTGCTGACGCGATATATTGCTGAGATGTATGAAAAAGTAATGCTTCCCAAGTGCACTTGCTGCATTCTGTAGAAAAACTTTTCATGTTGTAGAAGGATAAAATAAGGCAGTGTTAAGAGCTGAATGCATAGCATCAAAACAACACAACTGTCCCAGATGCCCTTAAGTTTATTGCTTTGAAGTTGTCAGTTTATGCTTCTTTCTTTTGTAAGCTCAAGATAAACTTTATTCTCCTTTAATTTGCTAAGTGTGATTTATGTTCACATGACCTTAGTGATAGGAATAACTCTAATAAAATCAGTGGAGTAAGTATCAGCATATCTGAAGTCAGTCTAGACCTATATTCCCTTGTGGTTACTGCTCAGGCTATTGATTACCGGTGCTATAATAGAGTGTTGACTAATGTTTAAAAAAAACAACCAAGAAACAAACAAATTAAAAAAAAAAAAAAAAGCCCATACTTAGTGTAGTGTAAGTAAAACAGTGACACCTGCCATGCAAAGAGTTGATTACTAGGCAGCTTCCCCCTGTCATGTTGTGACGCTGTGTCAGTAGGTGGTCTTTTGAAAGAAAAGGTGTGAGACCCCTTTTAATTGTTTTGCAGGAGAATGCAAAAATACATGTTAGCTTTTATGAAAAGGAGTAACTGCATCATTAAAAGTATAATATAAGAAGAAAGGGCAGAGATTTAACACAACAATGAAACTAAGTAGAGGCAGGAAAGCATTCTTTCCTCTACTTTTGCAGCTTCTTTGTGCATGCTGTTTTTTATCAAAGTCATATTTTTAGTGGTCTCATTATACTCAACACTAATCCTATTAAAGTGGTTTGTGTTAACTTTGGCAGTTAAAGTGTAGTTCTGCCCTGAAAAGTATCATTAGTGGGACGGCTTGTTTCTAAGCTTTTTAAATTGCTTGGCAAGTTAGCAGTGTGTAATCTTTTAGCCTTTTTTTTTTTCTTTTTTTTTTTGACAGTCTAATCTTCAAGCAGAGCTAATGTCTGATAATAAAACTGAGTGTGGGAAATAAAGACATTTGTCTACTGGTTAATCTGCATTCCCAATGAAACAGCTGCAGCTGTGTTGCTTTACCCAAGTTCTATTCACTGGTGTCTATGAAAACCTAACAAATTGTTATGTGGGTGTGGGAGGAGGAACCATATATGGCCCATACAGCAGTGAGCACAGGAAGCAGCATAGGTGGAGGTCATTCAGCATACTCTTCAGGCAGCTTTTCATCTACCTATGTAGGGGCCTCAGAGATTGCTCTAGCAGGTATGTTAGGACGAAAGTGATTAGAACACAGAATTGGACTTGCGTTGCCTGTGGGTCATTGCTGTCCCGTGGAAATTCCCATGTTGGAGCCTTGGTTTTTGGGGGAGGGAGTGGTATTTGGTTTTCCTCCTGTCATCTTGTCATTCAGTATTGGATTTAACTCTACAAGGAATAGGTGCAGCTCTCCTTGACTTTGTCATCTGTTTCATAGCTGGGCTGAGTTTGTCACCTAAGCCTCTCTGATCTCCTTTCACTTGGATGAATAATTGTTGTGTATGTATTCACATTTTTGGAGTTGTTCCCAATGTGTACATTCTTTTTTGTTTATTAAATGCCTGCTTAAGAGGAGGGGCTTTAGTTATTTTGTGGGGATATATTTGACACTGTGAGGGAAAAATGCAACATGTATATGTGTGCTTGCTTTCAGATTCTTTCTGTATGGCTCATTAAAGATCAGAAAGCAGAGCTGTGCATTAAGCGATAGAGATTGAAAAATAATGCAGAAATATAAGCACTGTTGTCTGTAGCTTAATTGGCTAGTTTTATACAGGCATTTCTGCATGTCTCTTGATTGCACCATGTTATTTAAGGAATAGCACTTCTGATCTGTGGAAATCCAAATTACTGCCTGCCTGAAATGTCACTACTGGCAACGTACAGGTGTGTGTGTATATGTATATCTGGAAGTAGTAGGGGATCACACTGCCTTTTTGCCTTTAAGTCATAATTCAAAATTACCGATCCTCTGAAGTACCAAATCCCTAACATTAAAAAATAGTACTGTATGAAAGATGGTATACTGTGGGAAAGACAAACCATTTCAGTAGCTTGTCCGCCATGCCCTTATTCTAAAAACTCAAAAGGAGTCTGCATTTAGCAGTCTAGGAGAAAAGGATTTTCTGAGAAGAGAGCAGTCTTGTTTGGAGTTCTTGAATCAGGCAATTCAGGGTACCAGACTCTCTTCTCCATTGCAGCATTGACGTCTGGGGTGATCTTTTCTAAGGTCCTATTTCTGCCCCTGCTTTCACGCTTTGTAAAGAGTGCATTATAAATACAGATATAAAATATCCTTTTAAGTTGAATTATTCTCAGTTGTTCAGGTTTCTACATATCTCTGAATGGCTGTTCCATTTGTAGTAGTATTCAAAATGATTAAACTGGGTTTCTACTAGTAAACTGTTGTTATTGTACACGAGGGAATCCGTCTCTGATATTTCAGTTCAGGTACCTCTTCAGAAAACAAGTTATTGGGATACTATTTTGTGAGTTTTGGTGCAATTTCAAATCCAAGTGCAGGCCTGATTCACCGCTGATGGATTGATAATGCTTCACTGGTTTTGGTAAGGATACACTGATAATAAACAGCTGAGATTCTGAACTAACAAAGGTGAATATTCAGCAGTACTTAGAATCAGGGCTTTGAGCATGGAATAGAAACTGTTACCATCATCTAGAGTTTAGTTCTAATTCTGAAGGTGCTACCTTCTATGAAAAGAAGGCAGCTTGGTGAGATTACTACAGTAGCAGAAGTTTCACTGGCAGCAAATCTGTCATCCTTAGTCTCTGTCTGAATAGGCCTTAGTGCAGCTCCCACCCGTGGACAAGACTAATTGTGATGTGCTTTCTTCTCTACTGTGTCTAATGAATGACTTTTTGGTAATTCCATTTAATGTTGGCTGCAGGGAATAGATGAAGGCCCAGAGGGACTCAAACTGATCTCTGACATTATTCGAGAGAAGATGGGAATAGACATCAGTGTGCTGATGGGAGCTAACATTGCCAATGAGGTGGCAGCAGAGAAATTCTGTGAAACCACAATAGGTACTGTTCCAAGTAATAAGAATGTTTAAAACATGCTCCTGTCCTCACAGTTCCACACCAAATAGTTCAGATTTTATAATTTTCAACATTAGCTGACTGTTATCAGAAACTGTTGGTTTCTTCTTATTTTAATGCTGAATTTCCTAGAATGTTTACGCTTCCAAAAGTACTAGGACAATACCAGGAATAGAGGGAGAGGGAGGAGTGCAATTTTACTTAGTCTCACTAGGACTGTGACCTTAGCAGGTGAAATGCTAAGCATACTTTTTAACACCCTCCGCATAATGAACTGCTTTATTTTATTACTGAGCTTAAGATTTTTCTTGGGTCTGCATGGCTTTACATGGATAAATGATTGTATAATCTGTACTCCAGCTCAGGTGTTAAGGTCACAGATGGTACCTTTATGCATGTTCGGGTTGTGGGTTTTTTTAAGGTATCAATATCTTATTTTAATTTCTCAAAATAATTGTTTCCCCCAAGAGCTAGACAAGGTTTTAGTTCTGTGTTGATGTCTGCACACCTTTGCAGCACAAAAATGTGCCTAGTCTTGGATTTCACAGTATCTAGACAGGCATGTGTGTTTATATGCATACAGGTAGTCATACATAATAGCACAAAGTTCATGTCATTTTTCTCAGTGTTAATTTTTAGCATTTTGTGCATTTTTTGCTCTGTAACCTCTCATTAACAGCTTTTGCATTGAACTTATTTTTGAATGGTTGAATTACCTCTTTGTGGTTAGAAACATTTGTCAGTGACAGCATGCTCAGTTAATAAAACATCCTTGACATGCCTTTACCAGTAGCTATTTTTCTGAAATGCAGACCTTAAAATAATTGGCAGAATTGCACCTGTTATATTTTTAATTCACCTTTGTTTTATTATTAACTGTTCTTTTTAAAGAGAATGATCAAAAAAAGAGAGATCATAGAGAATTAATGGAACTGTTATTTAGAATCTGTTGCTGAGAAGAGAATGAAATATGAAGAAGTCCAGAGTCACTCAGTGCAGAGCTTTTAAGTGTGATGTAGACGTGTCCTTAGTCACTTAAAACAGGAGTCTGTTTAGGTTTCTCTCTCTCAACAGGCAGCAAAATCTTGGAAAACGGCCTTCTCTTCAAAGAACTCCTGCAGACTCCAAACTTCCGAATAACTGTAGTAGATGATGCAGATACGGTTGAGCTTTGTGGTGCTCTGAAGGTAAGATTAACGGACTGCAGTTGATACACAGATGGAATGGTGATCCTTGTAGAAAAAAGAGTGTATTTTCATTTCAAGTATTAAGTTTATTGTGCTTTATATAACATATAAAGCTGCTACATAATATTTCTGGAAGAACCAGATAGAAAATTAGGGAGCAGCATGTTTTGAGGGTTGGCTTTTAGGCCCTTATCTAACCATCTCCCAAGTTCTCTTTCTACATCTTTCACTTAGCTTACACGTAGTCATGAAACAGGTGTTGTTTTCATCTAATTGATCGACATATTCTAAATCCATTTCAGTTCCCTTCTTATTTTTGCAACAGTGTGTTCACAAAAAGAAAGGGAGAAAGAAGTTGTCATTAATCCTTTGTGTCTGTGGACAAAACTATTCCTCTCTTCATACAGTGTGGATAACCACATGCAGAAATGACCTGAATAGGAAGAAAGTTATTTCGGGCAGTTACTCATCTGGAATTTTTTTTATAACAAAAAAAATTTGCTGACAGGAAGTAAAGGCTAGCTTAAACGTATTCTTATTGCTATTTCTTTCAGGTTATTTTACAGGCCATTTGTGAAAGGAAGGCATCAGTTGCTTGGCACCCTGGCCAGTAGTACTGTAGTTCACGTTATCTGATATCTAGCATGGAAGCATTTCTGATGGGTTTAGTAGATAACTTGGCTTCTTTATCTTTTTATGTTTTGGATAATTATTTTGTATTGCTTTGCTTTCTCTGTTGAAATTACATGTGAACTACACCATTCACTTGCAAAGCTACCAAGCCAATGAATGATGGCTTTAAGCTATGGAGTTCTGATTCCACTCGGCAGAAAGTAGATTGATAGCTACAATAACATGATTTTTAGCATACTGGTTTTCTTGTTAATTTTGTTATGAGAGCTGTCATACTGGAAGTCCTGAGAAGGAGGCGGTCATGGGCCTGTACATTGGGCTAATGGGATACACTTTGGTGTAACGTGCTTTGGAGTTACCGCATTTATAGCAATCTCTTAAGATTGTGGAGCTCATAATTTGGCTCCACAGCCATTGCTTTAAAATGCTGTGGTGATGTGGGAGGTTAGCAGCAAAGAAATCCCTGTGTGTGGACCCATAAAATTAGGCAAAAAGTTTTACAAATTTATTTTTCTTTGAAATTTGCTCAGCCTGATGTTTTCTGACTAGCTTAAATTCTTGCGTGATGGAGGAGTTCTGTCCCAGGTAATTTTTATTCCAGACCAGTCTTGTGAAAGGGTGCTAGAGATAAGCATGCCCATCAAACTGAGCGGCTAGTCAGCAGACACTGAAATGCCACTGTAAAGGTCCAAGTCAGGCAAGATAGCAGCATCTCTTTGGAAGTGCAGAAGAGCTTAAATAAATTGTTGTTCTTGACCTGGAAAGATACTGAGGTGAAACCTGTGTGTTTTCTTTGTAGCCTTGTTTTGTTCCTCCTTCCTACTTCATTATTCATCATGCATCCTTGCAGATTGAACTCTCTAGTTGCATTTCTAAAAAGCTGCATATAATCTGTGTGCCCATTTGGTTTTGATTGCTCTGTATTTTGTTAACTGAGTTGACACTTCCAAAAAAATGCACGGTATGAGCTCTAAACAAAAAGCAAATTAAGGCTAGATTAACTTGTTTAAAAATACTATGGATTTCTTGCCTGATTAAAAGGCATGAACTGGTATAAAGGGGCATAGATAAGTCATGCTAATATAGGTGATGTATTTTAAACATACAACTCTTAATCTCAAAGAAAATGTTATTAAAATAATATTTTTTAAGGTAATTTTTCATTTAAAACCATTCTAGTTGAATCCTAAATCTTTTGCTGCCAGCATGTAAATAATTTCCTGAGCTGTTTTTAACTCAAACATTGCAAAATTTTATTAATACATTGAGAACATGTATGCCTCTGAAAGAAAGTGAAGAAGCTAAAATTAAACAGATGGGTATGTTTTTATTGCCTGTGCAAAGCAAAATGCAAAGCTCAGATGTGAACAGTGAAATTTAAACTTGAGCTTTTTTTTTCTTAGAAGCTGTACATTCTTATTATTAGGAGAAGTGTTTGCTAAGGGTAACAACAAATAATTTGCTTTTCTATGATTAACCTAATAATCTGTAATAAAAAATGTGGAAAATAAGAATCTTTTCATATGATTATTTTTAGGGTAAATTCTAAAGTGTAGGTTCTGTCAGCTGACCGCTGACAGTTGCTTTATTAAACTTGGAAAGTTACTTCATGAAAAAATCGTAAAAATTAGCATTATTTAACTTGCTGGAAAGAGGAAATTCCTTTTTCAGATGATGGTGATATGTTGTGTGAAGAGATGGGTTTAAAAAGAGGGGTTTTACTCTCTTTCTATAGCAGCGCCAATTCAAAATGTCAGCAGCATCACTGCAAACTTCAGCTTAGAGGACAGAAGTAAGCTGGCACACGTGACATCCAGACTGTCTTTTTGGATGTGGAGATAGTAAAAGCAACCCCTGTATTGGTATTTAAAAGATGAGAAATACTGCACAGAGAAATAGTATATTCTCCCAGCTTTAGCATTTTCCTATAAATACCAGCTTGGGCAAAGGAGAATTTTCTGGTATTTCTGGCATAATAGACTAGATCTTGTTAAAAGTCTATACTTGCCTTGCTCTTTATTTCTGCAAACCTTTCCAAGCAGGGAAAATCTTCAATGTGGATGGTTGCCTAAAAGTTGGGAAAAAATACAGAAGGGTAACAGAGAGTGCTCTGAGCACAGCTTTCCCTTACAATAATGACGATTTTACATTTTAATTATTTTTTTAATCATATTTGAATTCAGACTGTAATATTGCAGCTGGATGATCATGAAAGATCATGTGCTTGATTGCTATTTATATACATATATATTGAATATCCACTTCATTTACTATATATATTTTTTGTGACAATGGGCTGATGGAGCAAAGGATAGAAATCAGTGCAGTGAAACTGTAGTTGTGTGTCAGCTTGGAGACTGGCTGAATAGGCAATGGCAGTCACTTTACAAAATCTGATGATACTGAGGAAGAACAGCTGTCTCCAGTGACTTGTTGGCTCTAGGAACAAGAAGTGCTTGGCATGTTCGTTTTTTATCAAGATTTTTTCTTTTGAGGACTGAAGCACGCTTCATATTTATGTTTTGACCTTTTCTAGGGGTTGAGGTCGGACATTAACCAATTTCAAATTTGGTTAGTTCAGTTTCAAGGTGTCTAGTTGGCTTTACAGGCAGCCTGACCCAAGGCCACCTACAAATTCCAGCTGCCATTTACCGGATGATAAAGGGTCTGTGAAGTGCTTAAAGGTTATGACACCGCTGTAAGAGTAGTATGTGCAGCTATGCATACATATGGATGTGCTCCTGGACGCTGGTGGATGTGATCCTGTAGAGTAGCACAGACCCAAGGTTATTACCTCTGAGGTGTCCTTAGAGTCCTTAGTTTCTGTGCCAGTGTGTGGTCTTACAATTAAACAGCACAGACATGAGGCAAGACTGAGCTGGTATATGAACCTAGCAGCATACTTGAGAGGCAATATAAACATTGGTAGCTGCGTTCTTGGGTGTAAACTGTACTGGAATCACTTACCCAGCGCAGTGGTGACAGGGGTGACCGTGAGGGAAGGAGAAGTGGGAATCTAATCTCTGGATATGGCCGTGCTCCAGCTGCCTGATGGATCTGTTTAGGGATCTGGAGAGTTAAACTGCCTCAAGTGGCAGCAGCCAAGGACCAAGACAGAGGTGACAGTTACTGTAGGAAGGAGAAGGAGCAGCAGCTGTGTTTTGCCTTCAGGTTGCTTCAGGCACATCTCTAAATCTTATGGCTCCAGCTTAGCCTTAAGCAAAGAAATAAGTATAATGATGACTTATTGTTCACCAGGTTGTTTAACCCAGCATTATTACAGAGGTGGTCCTGCAAAGTGTGTTTGTGGCAGCTGCTATTGGGTAGTCACTCTAGGTACTGTAGAAGCTGTTTGTGGTAATTACTCTTCCCTGAGATTAAGTGGAAATGAAATCCATTATTTACATTCAAGTTTGCCAGGAGCAAGCAAGCAGTTTATGCTTAAAGTCTCTGACAGTCCTGCTGATACTGTCTTTGATTTATTGAGTCTTCATTTGACCTCTCTCAGCCATGATGTGAAGCACAGAGCTTCTCCAAGCTCATGTGTAAGCAGGAGGGAAAGTAGGCTGTGCTGAGCTGTGACACTACCTCAAGGATGGCTGGATGTCCAGGTGAATTAACATTTCTGCTTAGTTCTCTAAAGATCCATTTAATTATGGAGAGGTAATAGTTGCCTCAGAAATGGCCTCTGAAGCTGTCTTCATGAGCACTCCACAAACTTACAGTAAACAGAGTAGGACTATAAATTGGATATTTCTGAGCACTGACTGCATACAAGAACAATCTGGCAGCAAAGTCTGCAGACTTGTTAACCTTGGTTCCTTAGTCATCTATTGACCTTGCATTTGTGACCTCTGGCGTGCTTGCAGCAGGTCATGTGGAAGTAAAAGACACTTTTCTCATTTGCTCTGACACATACTGTGAGCACTGCCTGGTATCATCATTTCTTTTCTGGAGTATAGCTTCACTATCCCAGTGATAACATAACAGTCCAGTCCTTGCTCATGTTCTAGAATAACTAGAACTAGGACTAACGCCCACTTCTGGATTCCGGACCAGCTAAAGACTCACCTGTTAGTGCAAAATATTTTAGTAGCTTAAAACCATATGCAATATAAAAACATCCGGTGCATCTTGCTAACAGGGTGCATGCTTTAATGTAAAAAGCTGTTAATGCCAAGATGGAGGAAATGTGTTTGCTCAAGCATGAAGTGGTTTTGAGAGCTCCGAATCCCTCGGGCCAAGAGGAGCATTGTTTGCAGTCATTTTGGCATTGTTGCGACAGTATTTTTGAACATTTAGAACAACAGGTTTGTCTGTAGGCTAAAGTCATCCTTGCTTATTAGGCCCTCAGACCCCCACATTGTATAAGCAAATACAGTCAGTCTTTGAGCTCACAGAAACGTGGGCTCTCTTCTCTTGCACAAATGGATTTGCAGGAGCTCTTGTAACTGCAGGTGTAGGCTTTGGTAGTGTTCAGGATCAACCACATGAGATACAGAAAGATGTCCTGGCCAGACAGATATGTGATTCTCCCCCTCCTAGTCTGCTTCTCAGAGGATCGTTGCAGTGCTAGTGCTATTAGGTTCTTGTGTGTTATGAATCTTCCTGAAAAAAACCCTCAACTTAGTGCCTGTACCCGGCAATTACAAGTACCAAGCTGCCTGTTTTGGTCTTGTTTTGGACAGAAAGATGGCTCATTCTCAAGTTTTGTGAGATTTTTTTTTTTTTGTTGATTTGTTTTTGAAAGGAGTGGCTCATCTTTCAGTAACGTGTAACTTTCAATGTGGTATAATTCAATTCTCTACAGTATATTAAACATGAGACAGTTGTCATAGACTCTTCAAGGTTTTAAATTAAACCAGATGGTAGATTTTGTAAATTCATAGTTGTGGCCTGAGGGTTATGCAGACCAGGGTATAACGGTCTCCTAGGTGTGGGGGTGTGTTCTAGAGCATAATCACTTGTCTTGTTTCCTCATTATTTGCAAACTATGTGTAAGAACGTACAATGAGGACATTGTACAAATGAGGAGCTTAGTGTTTCAGAGTTAGACTCAAGACTTCCCTTCTTCCTTAGCATTTACTCAGAAGTAACTAGTCTTGGTATGACTTGCTTGAAACATTATTTCTGTTGCTCCAAATGCAAACATTGCAAAAGGTAGAAATAGACAACAAAATACCATAGGCCAAATCATACTGTAAGTTATGATCAGGTAGACTGCTTCAGAGTGGAAAGGAAAGTCCAAGCAGGCAAATTTGGAGGAAAGGGGAAGGTTTAATATTGGAGTGTTCAAGAAGTACATGGGAAAAGCCAAGAGGTTGTTCCAAAATGTTTTTGTTTTCAGCTGAGTGCTGAACACTTTGCAGAGTTAATGTATATGTAAATTGCATTTAAATGGGTTATCCCGTCTGAAAACTTCTTAAATCCCTGTTTGACTTCCTCTTCCTTTGCCACCAAATGAACAAATATTGAAGGTTGCCTGGGAGAGGTGTTTGAAAACATACCTTGACTGAATTATCACAGCCAAGATTTAAGCCAAGATGATCTAAACTACCAGCTTTAAAAGTCTGATCATCTTTTGCTGCTTCAGGTCTGACGTTGAGATATGTCTGCAGTTTTTAAGGTGACCTTTAGATCTCAGCTAGCTGCTCAAAAAGCAGTGCCTCATCCTCTGAGCTCATTTGATTGAGAGCCGCCTAGCCATGACTGGCCACACAGCCCTGAAGCTGCTTGCAGTTTTTGGTTCTTATGGTTTAAAAAACAAAACAAAATCAGCTGTTAATCAGCTTGTTGTTTTCATTAGCAACTTGTGACTGTTGCTGTTTCTTCAGCAACAAAGTTGGTTTGGTTCTTTGGTTGTTGTTTGGGTGGGGTTTTTTTCCTGCATCAGGTGCTACATTAGGTGCCATAATGTTGGTTCTCCTGTGGTTTCTGTTGAGGTCACAGCTGCTGTTGTTGCGTGTGGAAAGGTATTACTACATGAATTGCTTCCTTGTTTGCTTTATCAGTGTGTCAGAATACCATCTCTTTTGGAGTGTTTTGGCTTTTGGTAGGGTTTGGAGGTTTTTTTGGTAGGGGCAAACTAACCAAGGCTAGTCTCACTCCCAGGCCAGCAAATAGCTTTTATAGTGTATTCACTCAAATGTCTCTCAACCAATCTCTGTGTTTGTAAACCAAAGAAGAGACTGTGTAGCTGATGAAGAAATGAAGAAAGAGTACACTCTTTGTAGAAGGCTGTCACCAGGTCTAAGGAAAAAAACAAACCAAAAAACAACAAACCATTTTTCTCTTAGGAAAGATCTTCCTGTGTCATGAACCTTCTGGAAACCCTTGATTAACTATTACTGTTATAGGAATGCTGCATACTTAAAAAGGCTGAATTTGGTCCCTTAGCATATCAGCATGGAAGTCAATAAAAGTTTCTTAGATTCAGTATTACTTTAATCATAAAGAAAATATGGATAAAAGGGCTGTGGGATGTCAGTCTAACTTTACTTCTGCCTCAGGGCAGGAACAGATCAATCTAGATAAAACCTTTTTTGGGTGTAGTGTAACCTCTTTGTTCTTAAAGGTAGTTCATAGTAATAGCTCCACAGCCTCTGGGGCAATTTGTTCCAGACCTTTAACCATGCTTTTATCCTTGGAAATACTTAGTAATGTAAGACTTGTAATCTTTTTTTTTTTTTAAAGGTTATTCCATAGACCTCAAAATCCCAAATCCAAAAAAACCCAAACCAACAACCTAGTCTTACAGTAGTAAAGTGTTTGCAGTTCTTAAGGACATCTGCATTCTGTCTTTTGGTGTCTTCTAGGATTCCATAAGCAATAATTGACTCATTTCTCATTTGCTTTTTCTCTTCTCATTAGAATATAGTAGCAGTAGGAGCTGGGTTCTGTGATGGCCTTTGCTGCGGTGACAATACCAAAGCTGCTGTTATTCGCCTTGGCCTAATGGAGATGATTGCCTTTGCCAGAATTTTTTGCAAAGGACAGGTGTCTACTGCCACTTTCCTGGAGAGCTGTGGAGTTGCTGATCTCATCACAACGTGTTACGGTGGCCGGAATCGACGTGTAGCAGAAGCATTCGTTAAAACTGGAAAGGTACCTTATTCACTGGGTGAAATAGATCGTTGTAAGTACTAGCACTCCTGGTTTGTTGGACTAATAGTATAGTTATGAGAGACATGCTAGCTGTACTGAATGAATACCCTTCTCTTTCCTCTCATTTTTGAGTGTGTTACAAGGCTAGAATGAGTGTAAAGGTGTTAAAAAGGAGGGGTGATTTAAAAAAAAAAAAAAAAAGCTGGAGAAATAAGATGTTGGGAGATGCAGATTTAATAAAAAGAATATTTACAAACAAGAATATAGGAGAATATTATATATGCTCACTCCAGGTCACTTTTGAGAAAGGAAAAACCCTCAATAACATCCTTTTTTTTTGTTTTTGTTTTTTCCCAATCCAGATGATGTTGTCAGGCTTATAAAAATCTTATCATAGCTTTTCTTTTCTTCCTTCCCCTCCCCTGCCCACCCCTCTGTTGTTTAGTCTATTGAAGAATTGGAGCAAGAAATGTTGAATGGTCAGAAACTGCAGGGACCGCAGACCTCTGCAGAAGTGTATCGCATCCTCAAGCAGAAAGGAATGCTGGAAAAGTAAGAACAGTTAAAGAAGTTCTGCATACCCCTTTTTTATCTCAATAATTCTTCCTGCATATTTGGTGTTGATATCTTCATGATATAGCCAAAAAGAAAATCACTGTAACATGAGTAGCTTAATCCTCAGTTAAAATCACAGAGAAGTGAATAGAATCTCAAAATATTATTGCTGTAGCTAGACCTAATAGTGTGACATTAAATCTGTGAATGCCCTTCTGTTTGGAGAATGTTTTATTGCCTTCCGCTATCACAGAAAAGCGTGGTGAGTGTGGTTTAACATGTAAAAAGAATAAAATACATGAAAATAGAAGCTGAGCTTCCTGAAGAGACTTGTGAAGAGGCTCTACAGCTCATTTCATAGTAGTAAATTCATTACTTACCTCCAAGGAGAGGAGCTTTGTTATTAAGGATCTGTATAGCTGGTCAGCTGAACAGTGGCTGCTTCTATCCACATGGACTCTAGCTTAGATACTGCAGTTTTCTTTTCTAACGTGACTTCTAGTTTGCTGTAGAATAAAACCTACCATCTGCTTGTGTAGGTCAGGGTTTTTTTTGTGATACGAAATTAAACAGGTTGTCCTGACTTGTTCATTTGTATTCAGGTCAGAACATGTATGATTCCTAAAGCCACATACACAGCTGTCTCCTTATAAGATTAAGGGATGCATCTATCTGTTCCTCTTTGTAGATGAGGCAAAATCAGAAAATAAATGACTTCCAGTCAGAAGACCAAGCCTCGTTACTTTTTTTTCCAAAGCAGTTTTACAAGTCTAGTTTTAATGGATCAGGTGCATTGAATTAGGTACTGTTTAACATTATCTTTGGGTGTAAGGCACCGAAGTCTGTCTCTGCAGTGTACAGTAATTAAACTAACTGCAGAAAGAAATCTTAGTTAAAAAGTTGGCTTCAGTCTTTGCTGTTTATGATTCCCTAAATGAGACAGGAATGTTGTGTCTGGAGTTTTTTTCCCTGTTCTATCTCGCAACAAATAGAGTGCATTATAGAAGAGACTTTGGGTTGTGTTCTTAATGAAAGATATGAAAACAGTTGCAAATTTCTGTTTGGTACACCAACATACATGTGTTGGTTCTTCATAAAAGGTCTCGTTCAACAATATTTTTGAAAGTAACTTTTAAAGTGTTTTTTGAAAACTTTCTTGCTACTGCTTTAAAACACAAAACACAGTAAAACAGCCACGGTTTCAAAGTGAAGAGGTAAGATTCTAGCAAGAGTAAAATTTCATATTCTCATCCTACAGAGTCCCAAGGCTATGTAGAAATATGCAAAAGTCAAAGTTCAGTAGAAGGGCCTTGGTAGCAGTGTTAATGCCTATTGATATTTACAGTGCAATTCGTTTTTTCATTTCAACAGTTGTAGAACTAACCCTTTTAATGTGCTCAGACATAAGATGATGCATTTGGAGTTTGCTTGCCCTGAGCCTGCAGTCAGCCTTGATTCTGCTTTCCCCATGTGCAGTGTGGCAGACCTGTGCAGAGCAGGGTAATGTTCTCTGTGATAAACAGCAAGACTTGCGTATCGAGATGTGGATTGTAGTAGTGGTAGTTCTTCACTGAGAAGTAACTGCCAGTACTGCATCTAAAGCTGTGTGAAACTTGCTTTTGCTTCAGAAGGTTTGCATGTTTTGTGGCTGCCTCTAGTAAAATCTCACATGGGCGTAGCAAATTTTATTTTAGTGCCTAAATTTAAGTTTTTACAGCAAAAGCAAATTCAGCCCCCTGCTGCAACCCAGTATATTTTACAAAGCAAGTGATTAGTGAGGCTTGTTAATAAATTCAAAAGTGTCTGTGTACGTTTTTTTCCTGCGTATTTTCTAGTAAGGGTTTTGCAACCTAAACAGTATAGCATTGAATTTGAAAAAGCAGCTATGTGGCTATATGCTAATTTTGGTTCCACCAATGAAATAAAACCAAAAATCAAGTCAGTTCAATTGACCTGAAATAGTTTTTGTTATTGCTGCTATTTTTGTTTTGTTCTCCACAAAAATAAACCAAAAGAAACGGACATGTGTTTCATAACCGGACATTAAGATTTTTCAGATAAAAATGAAATTCTACATTTTGAATTGAGCACTTGTAATAAAAGCCATAGAAACGATGCACTAAATTCACAAGCATGTCCACTCCTCCACCCTTTTTTTCCCCAGTAATGCAAAGTATTGCATTCAGCCGAGTACAAATCCTGTATCTGCCCCTGAGGATGCGGTAGTCACTGTGCTGTAATGGCACTCTTGAATGGTTCATGGCTTCTTGTATGGCTTCTGATTCATTCGGAGGAGTCTCGTTCAGAGCTACGTGGTGATGCCAGAGTTACCTCAGTATAACACAAACCAGCAGATGATATTGGGAAGCATATATAGTGCTCAGTACTGGTTGGCAGTTCTAGTCTATACTGCATTTGTACGTTACAGATAAATCTTTAAAGCGGCTTATGGGAGTGCTTTCCTGAGAAGAAAGCTCTAGTCCACGTGTATTCTGAATGACTTGGAAATTAAATATTTCACTGTATCCAATGCTCCTTATTTCTTATTTCAGTCAAAATAACCTTGTGCATTAGGTCAAAATTTGTCAGTATAAAAAGCTGGACTGAAATGCTGTATTTATTTTAGTGAACAGATAATTAATCCCTAAAATTCACCAAGCTTTGTATGGCAATAGGATTTGTGTGGCTTTCTCCGTCCAAGACGGACAGAAAGCAAATTTAAATTTCTGTAAAACATCTTGGCTGTAATAAGCCTTCATATTATCAGAGAAGCTTGAATAATTTGGGTGTTGTTGGAAACATGGCCAATTTTAAAAAATAAAAAAAAAAATTTAAATTTTTTTTTTTTAGGGTTTCAAAATCCACATTTCATTTTAGTTTCTTATTTAAAAACTTGACCTTCAGTTTCTTCTTGGGTCTCCCTTTGTCATATTCTGCAATTGTATTATCAAATTATTGTTCAGAGATAATGCATAACTGATGCGCCAGTCATCCTTTTTAACCACAGATGAGTACTGCTATAAGAATGTCAAAGAAAGATGCGAGTGTTTTTAATTTTTTAGATCACTTAATGGTTGTGCCATACATAATGAATGTTGCAGCCTCCATTATAGCTAGCTAGGCTTCTTGAGAGTGACTCATTTTAGAGATGCATGTAGGTTCTGTATTTATCCAGTGCTTTTCAGCCCACCATAAGCACTTTACAAACACTAAAAGAAATCGATTTTTCAGTCTCTCTTTTTTCCCTCCCTCTCCTCACCTCATTTTGTTTCTTCCATTTAGGAGAATGTTACAGAATAAACTCACGCTGTGTTTGCTTTCCCCACCTTGTTTCCTCAGGTTTCCACTATTCACTGCTGTGTATCAAATCTGCTATGAAGGGAAGCCTGTCAGAGAGATGATATCCTGCCTTCAGAGTCATCCAGAGCACATATAAAATCAATCAGGCCATTGTACTAATGCAGCTTTCTGCCTTTCAAATTCATATTTGGGTTCAAGTGGATGTATCGTTAAGCTTCGTTCAAAGCTGCTCGCTAGGCAACAGTAACAACGTGAATGTCTCTGAATGGGTATTGGGTTTTGTTTTACAGCCTAGTTTGACACAGCATGCAGTGTTGACTTGGTGATTGTCGTTTTACTGGCTAAAATACAACTGTTTTAAGATGCGCAATGCAAAAGTTGCACTACATATCTAGTGTATGTAGACAAGTGTACTTTGTGTGTGTTCCTACATCATAAACCACAATGTTTTGTTGTCTCTTATTAAGGCTTAGTCCAAAATCCCCTGGACACCATGGGAAGAATCCCACTGGTTTTGATGAAGATGGAATCAAGCCTGTAACCTTGAAATATTAGTTTTTCTATTAGAACTTGTTTTCATTCTGCATACACACTGAAGTGTTAACATTTTGCATGTTTACCATTACATTAATTTAAGCAATATTAATGCAAAACAAGTGGTAGCAGTTATTCAGGGGGGTTACAGGGATATCTTAATGAAGTCTGGTGAAAAATATTTTGATTTTTTGAAAGTCTTTAAAACTGTCAGACTATTTTGAAACCAATTTCTAAGTGAATTTAAAGTTTTTAATTACACTGTTTTAAAGGGAATATTCTAGAGGGGGATCATTACCTCCCCTTCTGTTTTTAATCCTTGCATTTTTGTATTTCTCCATTTCTCCCTTGCTGTTCCCAGGAGTTAGGCTCTTCTAGAATCCCATTCCCCCAAACAAGTGGGAGATGTTGACCAGGGGATTCTGAATGCTGGAGCCTAGGGTTCATTTTAATGTTGTACCTGTGGTTGTTCTTCACTGGTATTGTTTGGTGGGTAGGGAAGGATACTCTTGGGTATCGACTGCTCAAAATTGTCGTGCTGCGTTTCTAACTTAACCATCAGCTACAAAGTGTTGCACTCCACACAACACTCCAAGGAATGTTTGGGGAATTCCCTGATTGATCATGCTTGTGTTGTGAAAGGGTTATGGGCCAGTACGCTGACTGCATTCATTTCAGTGCCTGCCAGTGACTGACATGTCAACTGGACCGTAGTCCCGAACCATCAAAAATTACGAATTCTGAAGTTACTCTTTCATTGGACAAAACTTTAATGGGTGCTGGATCGAGTCCTTTATGACTAATCTCCCAGAAAGCTTTTCAAAGGCATCTATCTCTTTTATTCCCCAGTTATCTCCACTAGTTTTTTTCAGGCACCTTTGCTTTATCAGGCAGGTTAATTTTAATTATTATGGGAAAATTTGTGATTTTTATGGAGTTTGGGGGTAAGCTTGGGTTTGGGGAGATTTTTTTTTTTTTTAAGAAGGTTGATGCAAGAGAAGATAGATAAATGAAATCTGTCTTGCTTTTCTGGTATAATAAACTGTAATTTTCTTGGTAAAATATATGCCAGGTACATAAAGAGTGGACTCATTCTTGCAGCAGGGAGACAAGGGTTAGCATCGAGATTTACAGAGCTCAACAGGAATGGCCATCT